CATCATCATGAGGTGTTTCAGCATCACCATGAGTTTCTTTAGAAGAAACCTGAAGCATTGAATTGCTTAGAGGCTGCAGAAAGGAGCCGTGGTGGGGTGTATCCTTATTTTGTACCGTTGCTGCTGCTGTTGCTGCTGCTGTTGCTGCTGCTGCTGCTGCTGCGGTCCCTGTTTCTCTTTCTTCGTCTTCTGAATCGCCGTGAGAGCTCATATGCACTTTCGCTGTCAACTCGTTTTTGTATTTTTCTTTTGTAAGCATCTGAGCAGCTGAGAAAGGATCCGGCAGCGACATTCTCCATGTTTTGTTTTTTTTGTTGTTGTTTGTGTTGCTCGCTATATGTCGTGTGCTGCTGCCAGTTGACTCTGTTTCTTTCTCTGCTGCTCCGCCTCTGCCGCCTTCAAGCTTCACAGAATACGGAGAAACAGATGAAGTCTGCGGCTGCTTTCTCTCGGTTGTGAGGCTTACAAAAGAGGAGATGCTGGGGGGGGCCCAACGAACAGTGTGCGCGAGAGAAGGTTGAGAAGAGAATAAAAGAATAAAACTAAAACACAGAAATATTAGGTGAATCAGAGGTCCATATTGTGTACGAATAGACATTTTGAAAGAGTCAAGAAAAGAAGGAAACAACTGCTTTATACAGAGTAGAGGAACACGCAACAGCCGCCCAAACAGGAGCTGAGGATACACCCCAGTTCTTAATGAAACATCATCAACTATACAACCTCGTATACACCCTGATGAAGGGTTGAAGGGGCGGTGAGGCTGCATGGCTCTATGGGGGGCTGAAGGCGCTGCTGCTGTTCATCATCGGCCCGCAGAGAAGATGCAAAAGAAAGCTGCACTGATCGTACAGGAGGAGGAAAGCAGGACCTCCTCTCTCTCTTCACAGCTTCAAATAAAGAAAAATGTATCTAGAAGTTATATTCTTTTCTCTATTCTGATGCAGCAAGCACACAACAGTGCTCACAAACACGAATCGAGCCTCTAACGAAGACAGAACAGCAACGGCGGCGCTGGGGCCGCAGTTCAACGTAACCTGGTCGTTATAGAGCTGAAAACAAGCGGAAAAAAGAAAGAACCTCCAATAAATAACTCAAAAAGAGAAAGAAGACACAGATTATCCAGCAGCAAAGCCGCAGATCAGCACTAACGAACAAGGTGCTGCTGCTACAAGCACAGGCTGCGCAGCCGACGGGAATGTGGCGTGAACACTGCGAGCTGCGGATACACCTGAGCACGAGAGAACGTATATTAATTGAAATTCAGTATTTCATAGCTTGAAAAATGCAAGTTAAAGGATTGAATGCACCAAACGAATATATTATATGCAGCATCGCGAGCCGCCCAGCCACACAGACCGCTGGCCTCCCACCACGCCGTAGCTCAGCAGCCGGATGAGGATGCTGGTCTCCTCTTTGTTGGTTTTTATTGCATATTTTCAACTCATTTTTCTTTGTTTTTTTAATCTAAGTTATATCTTTACTTCGATAGACTACTCGCATAAAGGGAAGACAAGAATCAAACGGGCTCTACGTGCATCCTGACCATACACGGTCTCAGTGTAGAACAGAGCTGAACACGAGGCGGATGCTTACTGCGGGTACTTTAAAACTGAATAATTCTTCTTTTTTTAAATAAACTAACTGAAAATGAATTTCTTAATGTGTTTGGCCAAACTTATTTAGGCTTTTCCCGCAATCAACTGCCGCTGCAACTGCTTTCATCACCACAACAGGCTGGAGGCATACGCTAGAAGCCCGCATTTGGCGGTCGGCACAGAACGAACAAAGGTTCATCTTTATAAAATTAGTAAGTAGAAAGTGAACAAAACGTCTTTCTTTTACTTTTATCTAACAACTTACTAGTTGAGTACATTCGCTAGCACGGGGCTGAGCTGAACCCTGCGGCTATATAGAGGTCAGCGGGTGCTTACCATTGAGAGGGGCAGAGTAAGACGAGAGAACTCAGCAATCATCTCTCCAACACAGAAACACTTTTCTTTCTCTTTGATAGAAGAGTGTTTCTGTAGGGGAATACAAATAAATGCAAAACACATGAATCAACTGCAGTCGATAAAAGCCCTTTCGCTTCTGAAGCGCAGGGCAAACATCTCAAACTCAACGAAGCAAAAGCACTCATACAAAAAAGATCCATATGCACAATACACGCCAG